AAGTGAAGCCTAAAACTGTAAACCTTAAGGCCTGCAACCAGATCTCAGAGTTTCTGCTTCAGGGTTGATCCACGGGTTCGACGCTGTGTTTCGGGCAAGCTTCTTGTGGCGAGAGGCGTGTGATGAACAGGCAAAGTTTCTGCTCAGGGGACTCTGAATGCAAGACCCGAAACACACGCGATGGAGTGGTACTTGAAGGATCATGGGACTTAGTAAGTTAGGTTATAAGTACCTTAATTGGGGTTATAAGAAATTATAAGTATATAGTTACCTTAATTATAACCCTAGTTACTAAGACTAAGTCCCATGATCCTCCAAGTGTGGTAGGTCTGGGGCCGGAGGGTTGCTTTCTTTCCGCAGGTTCAGGGCTAAGCCGACTTACATGGTGGCGCCGCCCCGCACGCAAAGCGAGAGACCAAGCAACTTCAAAGCGACTGACCTCGCTCTAGGCTCTAACGGGCTAGGACGAAAGATCTGAGGTTTTGTCGTTCAATAGGGGTTTCAATCATTATAGGGTTTCGATGTATATTGTATCGTTTCTACTTACTCAGACCCCTGAAATAGACCTGAGTTCGGGTCATGCTGCATGGATTTCAGAGGTAACAGTAGCTTGAAGTTCTCGGATCGTCGGGTTCGCAGGATCATGGGCTTCGGAACATTCCTACCACCAATACTAGGGAGGTGCCTCAAAAAAGTGCCACAGAGGTCGGATTCTGAGTTAGTGAGGTTTTCGCCCTCTAGAGTGTAAACTTTGAGACAGGTCCCACAAATCTCTCAATCCTAAACCTCTTAACCCCTCAAGACTGCATTTCCGGTTGAATGGCATCGGCCTTTGAGTGAAGCTGGGAAGGGACTTGGAAGGAGGTACTTGCTGTAGCCCTTCTTTGTTATTCCTCGTACCAAACAGGCAGGAAGCACGAACCCTAGACCCTAAATCCTAAACCCCTGCCAAGCCGACTTACTTCTACAACTGCGGTTGTAGTTTGGCCTTCGAGTCCGGTTCTGCTAGGGCTCCGAAAAAGCACGAAAGCAAGATGAGGATAGGGATATCCCATATGAACCCTCGTATAATGGATCCCTAACATACGATCCCAGGAAGCTTGGAGGGGACTCGCTAGTCGGCTTGGCTACTAAACACAAGACCTGCGACCTTTCTTGAACCCAACCTGAAACTACTCGTGCCCAGTTTTCGCTGAGATCATGAGATTATGCAAAAAGCACCGATATGGATATGGGCTAGAACTGATCGTTTTCAGAAGACTAGATCCTGCAGTTAAGTTCAGGTTGAGAGTGGGAGATACGGTCTGGCTAGAGGACTACTTTGCTGAGCTTAAGCACTGCATCCCCGTGACGCTCGACCTTTTCGCAGAGATTCAGCTTGCGTCGCTGCGAGTTTCTTTGGCTGAACTGACGTTTGCATTGCCGAAAGCAAGACGTTCGTGAGTTAGGCTAAAGGAATTGCCGCGCACCCAGGAACCGAGAGTGCCACGGACTTGTCACTACTATGACCGCTGACGCAAGTGTACCTTCTGGTAACCAGCATAACCGTCACCATCGCATCAGACTCATCAGCACGACCATACTCATTCTCTCACCACTATCACTGCTACGGCTACGATTACCACGACGACGACTTCTACTACTACTGCTACTGCTGCTACTGCTGCTACTACTACTACTACTACTACCACTACTACCACTACTACTACTACTACTACTACTACTACTACTACTACTACTACTACTACTACTACTACTACTACTACTACTACTACTACTACTACTACTAGCTACTCCCCTGACTGCGACTGCGACATGCCACCGCTACCGCTCTAAACGCAAAAAGTGTGCGTAATCTGTATATATACATACATACATACATACATACATATATATATATACATATATATATATATATGTGTGTGTGTCTGTAATTTTTACACGCATACATACATACATACATACATGCATGCATGCTTGCATGCATGCATGCAGACGGACAGACAGACAGGCAGACAGGGATGGACATATATATATATATATATATATATATATATATTATATACATACATAGGTACCAACAAACGCAAGCACTGGCCATGACAGAGACAGCGATGACAGAAACAACGGGTGGAGACTGTAGATCAACAAAAGCCTTCTGCTTCTTCTTCTCCTTCATTCTACTGCGATACTATACTACTACAGCTGCAACTGCGAGAACTGCAACTGTTGCGAAGACGCTTAGTCGTTGCTGCGAACTGCAACTGCTTGATAAGACGGAGGGGCTAAGGTCCTCAGGTCTGACAGGAGAATCGAAAGAATGTCAGAAAGAATCGACATCGAGACAATGGGCACTTCGGCCATCCGTTATGGTAAGTAGGTAGGTCAATGCCGCCCCATCAACCCCATGCTGTATGAATGCGCAGAAAGCCGATCGAAACACAAGAATCGCCCGTCGACTGAAGTTCATGACACACTCCTTTCCAAGTATATAATCTAGAAGGCTTGTCGTCGATCTGAAAGCGACTGGCCTTCGTTCCGTGACGGCAATCAGTGTTCTTGATAACCGATGTGTGAAGGATGACTGAGCCACGGCAGGAGACCTTGTGCCCTACTCGTTGCTGACATTTCGACGTTAGTCATTTATTGTCAAACCTACGTTTTGTCTCTTCCTTGTTCATCGCTTGTAGTCACACACCTCAACCTCGAAGACTTTAACCATTGGGTCTTAAACCATGCAGAGTTGTCGATACTCTATCGTCCTGATGCTGGCTCCTGGATGGAAGGCATGATCCTTGAGTTTGTTCCCTTCGCATCAAGGGCCCCCTTCTGTGCCATATGATCTGTTTAGGGTTGAGGGTTCAGAGCTTAGGGCGGAGGCGGAGGTTGTCCCTGCTGATGCATTGCGGCCTGCGTTAAGGGGAAGGGGTTCAGGTATCCAAACCCGAAACCTTGCAACCCAAACCCAAGCCCAAACGAAACCTGAACCCTGAACCCTTACCCTGAACCTAAACCCTAAACCCATAAACCCTGAACCCCAAACTTCTAAACCCGAGCCTAAACTCAGAGTTCATTCGAGCTCCCAGGGCTGCATGCTTAAGGCTTCGAGGACCCGCTGCCCTAGCCGCTTGAAGGCAGGAGGTGCTTAAAACCGGGGGAGCTTCCTAAGGGTTCTACAAGGGTTGCTATCAGTACACCCCAGGAAGAATCTTGGCAAAACAACCCAGCTTCCCATATGATTCATTGGGGCTTTTGCTGTTTGGGGGTTGAAGGCGTGAGCACTACGTAGGAGATTCCTAGGCTTGTTTTTTGGAAGGTGGGAGAGGCCCAACCCTAAACCCTAAACCCTAAACCCCTTCAGGACACCCTGAACCCTAAAGCCTCGAAGTCCATATGCTCTCGAGCTGTGACAATGTGAAGACACAAAGCCCTGCCCTGAAACCCTAAACCCACAGCTTATGGGAGCTGTGCACATGGCCGTTTCGAAGATGAGGCACCTCAAATTTTGAGAAGTTCATGTGACTGCCTGTCTGATACGCAGCTTGAGCTTTCGTCTGGAGGAGCTTGGGATTCGATCATGAAGCTCTGACTTAGGGTCTAGAGTGAGCCTAGGGTAGGGTGTGAGGAATTATGACGTTGTAACGTGTCACATCTTTATGCAAATAGTTCATGGATTGGGATAGCATTCAAAATTGACATGTCTATTCCTTATTGGGTTTAAGTACCCAGAAAAAATTCAAGATGTTACCCCACTGTGACGAAGGCAAAGGCCTGAAATCTGGAGGCCTGACGTCTGAAGTTGTCTGGAGCTAAGGTTCAAATCGCAAAGATCGAAGCTGGGTTTAGGGTTTAGGGTTTAGGGTACTGATGAAGTTTAAATAGCTTCATTGAGATTCTGGCAACAAGAGCCCCCTGAGCCCGGCTTCCTGGAACTGCTTGTTCAGGTTCAGTGCTCAGGCTGTGTTGCGACTGCTTCCCAGAGAGCCCAATACCGCTTCATTAAGGAACGACATAGCCTAGTTCATATGATCAAGCCCCTCATGATATAAGGTATATTCCTTAATTACGGAGTGTTGGGCTCTCTGGGTTTAGGGTCTTGTTGCTCTCGGTTTGGCTGCACCAGGACGGGTTTTGGGGAATCGGGATTTGGTTTAGGGTAAGGGGTTCTTTCTGGGCCGAACTGCGATCCCTGGGCAGGTGTCGAGGACTAAGCAAGCGTCTCAGAGCGCGATCGCGTCGCTCGGGACGAAACCTGCCAAATAAACCCTAAGCGCCACACACACACACACAGACACACACACACACACACACCCGCATCACCCGCTGGCTGCAAACTTAAAACCCGAAGCCAAGTCGAGGCCCTGAACACTGAGAGGATCCTGAAACATATTCCCCACTGCCGGACCTCTACTTACCAGAGCCCCCATTTAGCTCCCAAACCCTAAACCTGAAACCTTACCTAAACCCTGAACCGAAACCCAAAGCCTCCGACGCCGAAACCCCAAAACCGCTGCAACCAAGGCCTCAGAGCTCGAGTATCTCAAAAAAAGCTCCAACAAAGCAGGCGAGCATAGACTAGACTAGACTAGACTATGATCTAAGCATAAAACAACAATGCTGATATCGCACAAGAATAAAAACAAGTACTAATCGTAATAGTAATCATCATCATCATCATCCTCATACTAACCATAAAACCATATACTATAAAATGTACCATACCTCGCAGGGCTCTGGGTTGCAGAGGATGGCGAAAACTTGACCAACCCAACCCTACCCTAAACCTGCATCATCCTAAATCCGAAACTCTACATACTCTGCACGTTATATTACATTATCGTGTACTACAGCACGTTATGATATATTTTACTGCATTATACTGTTATACTATATCAGAGTACTGTACATGAAAAGTATAAAAAGAAGGTATAACTACATCATAGCATGCGATAGTACATTTTGGTACATTGCTTGCACCTGCATCAGGTTGGCCCGGCTTGCTAGTATCCAGGCCCACCTGCGTCAGGAGGGTTTCGGGTTTAGCGTGGTTTGGGGTTTAGGGTTCTGGGTTTAGGGTTTATGGTTTAGGGTTTCCCCACATGAAAGGAAGTTTTTCCGAGGGCACGTAGGGTCGCCACTTAGGGTTTTTGGTTTTTTTTGGGGCCCCCGAAGCCTCTTAGGAACTTCCCAATTCGATTGCCTCGCATCTGGGTCTCAGGTTTTGTTCGATCTCAGGTTCGGAGTTTGAGGGCAAGGAAGCGGCTGTGCTTCTTCCTCCGTGACCTGGACGAGCGGGAAGAAACAAGGTAAGCAGGGGTGTCGCTCTGAGGTTAATTGGGGGGGCTCATGCTTGGGAGCTGGTTTTGGGGGATCGCGGTGTCTCTGGCAAAAGTCCAGGGTTGAGGAGTGCTTCGCGCTTTCGGATTCCAGCACTTGGTGCTTGGGGGCATGATGCAATGCTTTGGGGGACTCCTTCCTGCTTTCGCTGTTGCTTTGGCTTTGGGACTCAAGAAACGTGCTACCCAAAACCCACCCTTTTGCATGAAACTCACCCTTTTACCCCCGACATCCATGTGCCACTCTCCACTCCACTACGCCTTGTAAGCCCAAAAGCCTGAGATTCTACATACCAGGAAGGCGCCTGACCACTCACCCTGCCAAGACGGATCCCACTGCTCCTCGCTTGGGCTTTGCGAAGTAAGGCGGCTGAACCGAGGGTGTCGGGCTGCATGCGTCCCTAGGAGTAGTTCTGGGCTTTCGAATCAATTCAAGGCCGGAGGCCCGAGTTCGAGGCTGTAGGCTCTTGGAGTTGGCTCTTTAGCCCTACTTGTCGGGTATCATGAAGAACTGAAGGTTAACCTTTTTGGGTATATAGGGATTATATAGGGACTATACTACCCCAAAACGGTTAAAGGTTACCTACTCTACTACGTAGCTCTCCTTTACAAGGCTCTCCGGTCCGACTGATTGCGGTTCACAGGTGCAAGTCGGTGTATGCTTGCGCTGACCCCCACATATGGGTGGTTGTCAAAATTATGGTAGGGTTTAGGGTTTAGGGTTTAGGCTGGGTACCCTAAATAATAGGTGCCGTATTAAAATAAGGACCCAAGAAGGGACCCTAATTTTGACAACCACCCATATCAGCGAAGCAAACCCATTAAGGTAGGGCCTGAATAATTAGAATGGGTTTCGGGGGCCGTTACGCTGTAATTATTAACAAGGAAGCCCTACGACAGTACAGGTAGTTATTGAGGCCCCTATATTACACCACACCCTAAGCCCTTTAAACCCAAAACAAACCAGAAGTCCTAATCCTAAACCTGTTAAACCCAACATCAAATACCCTCAACCCTTCAAACCCCGAATCCTAGAACCTGAAACTTAGTATGCAAGTTGCAAGTTTTCCAAGAGGCATCTACAAGTACTAAGGTTCTACCAGCTTCCTTTTCAAGGGCTACATACGGGTTTCAAGCGGCTTCTGCGCAGGATTACAGTTTCAAAACCTGAACAGTCTATGAAGGATGAAGACATTGCGAATCAGACAGACCATCATCAACAGCGATCCAGTATCCTGTACGTCCCACTCGAAATGTCATCCGGAATTGCCACGGCCGCCTCATCCAAACCCTGTATTCAAAACTCGGCCCATAAATCAAGCTGGCTGGCAATAGGCCCTAAAACTTGCAAACTCTGCACCCAAAGCGTGAACACTAAAATGTCTACACTTTGCCCGCACAAACTTCAAGTAACACATCTCCTGACAGCCCGAAACTCTCCTCAACCCAAACCCCCTTAAACCGTGAAGTCAGAATCCCTAAGCCCTCAAACCAAAGCCCGCCACCGCCGGTATGGGGGGGTTTCCGAAAACAGGGGACCCTGATATAGTACCCTAAATAGTAGGATCCTGATTATAAGGACCCCCAAAATAAGGTACCCCTCACTTTCGGAAACTCCCATTTAAGGCTCTAATTTTCGGAAACTCCCGTATGGTACCCTGCACCCTGAGCTGCTGCTCCTGACCGGCCCCCCACGACTCGTCCCACTCGCCAGCGCCTCAGATCACTCGGAGGGCTCGAGGTCGGAAACTTGGGCTTTTTATTTGCTTACCAAAGGGGTTTAGGGCTTAGGGGTTTAGGGTTTAGGGGGCTTTACTTACCTGTGGTTACTAGGGGATGGAAGAAGGGTAGGAATAGTATAACTGTAGCCCATTCCTCCATTCCCTGCTGACCCTAGGTAAGTGCTTAGGGTTTTGGTCCAGAAGTTGGCTTCGAATCAGTTGCGGGTTTTTTGGTTTTCAATCTTGAAGCTTTTGACTTGTGGACCACTCAAACGAGAGAATGCACCTGGCAGGACTTTTGGGAAGTGGGGAGTCTGAGCGACAAGCCTGCAAGGGCACGTGGCGACAGTGGCCACAGGCGGCAGCAGTAGTAGCAGTAGCCACGGTAGCAGGAGCAGCAGCAGTGGCCGTGGCCGTAGCAGTGGCAATAGCAATAGCAATAGCAGCAGTAGGAAGAGTAGCAGCAGTAGAAACAGTAGCAGTAGCAGTAGCGGCAGTGGAGGTAAGACTAGTACAAGTACTAGTAGTAGTAGTAGTAGTAGTAGTAGTAGTAGTAGTAGTAGTAGTAGTAGTAGTAGTAGTAGTAGTAGTAGTAGTAGTAGTAGTAGTAGTGGTGGTGACGCAGTTGTAATGGTCGTGGTAAAGTTCTAGTCATGGATGGTACTGCTCGTGCTCGTGGTGGGTGGAAGTGGTAGAGGGTGATGATGGTCGTGGTGGTCGTGGGTGGTGGGGGTGGTGGCGGTGGTAGTGGGTGGACATCTTTGCCAGTGCACGAAACTCTGCTCGCAGGAACGCACATGCAGCACAAGCCATCGTGTGGCCCACATGGGCTTGCTTTGAACACGGGCCGTGCTGTTGTGGTTGTGGGGATGGTTTGATTGCTGCGACTAGCCGACGAGGGCCAGCGATGCAGTGACAACAATGCATGTTGGGTTCCGGCGTAAGTGTCCTAACCCCAAAACCGTCAACGGCCAGTCTGCTTACATGGGGGTTTCGGAGAGTAGGGGTACCTTATTTGGGGGGCCGTGATAATGCACATAAGGGTCCTAGTCTTGGACTCTAAGTTAAGGTCATCGAATTCCGTGAAACTCCCACATGTATGACCGAGATCCGCACCGCAGCCGGGTCCGCCACATCCGCAGCCGCCGCAGCCACCGCCACAGCCGCCACCATAGCCTCCGTTGGTCCATGCGGCACCGGAATCCGCGCCGCCGCAGCCCTGAGCAAAGCTTGACACATGACTGGGCTTTGGCTTCCGGGCCTCAGTCTGTTCGAGGCTTACACTCAGCTCCGGAGGACCCTTTCGTTTGCGCCGTGCCGAACAGGCCCTGTTCTGGCCCTGACAAGAACGGGCGCTTTGACTTATAGGACTCAGGACCACTGTGATGACGCTTCTGACCGAGGAAGCAGCAACGTGTGACCAATACCTGACTCCCGTATCTTCGTCAGCGCGGTCGTTGTCAGAGCCGCCGTAACAGCAGCGCTGGTGGTGGTGGTGGTGGTGGTGGTGGTGGTGGTGGTGGTGGTGGTGGTGGTGGTGGTGGTGGTGGTGGTCGTGGTGGTGGTGGTGGTGGTGGTGGTGGTGGTGGTGGTGGTGGTGGTGGTGGTGGTGGTGGTGGTGGTGGTGGTGGTGGTGGTGGTGGTGGTGGTGGTGGTGGTGGTGGGGGCGGCGGCGGTGGCGGTGGTGGTGGGGGTGGGGTTGCAGTCATTCTCTCTCGCGCGGGCGTAAGCGGAATTACACCACCCCACATCGGGAGCCTAAACCCAACCGAAACCCTAAATGATGTAATGCCCAGCCCGACACCAATTTGAAACCCTCACTACCTTGAAAGTGGATCACCCCCCGAAAAGGGTGGGGGGGATGGCGCCTCCCCCCAGCTTCCGTCGTCACCTCGGACATCGGATCACAGCTTTGCTTCTTGCTGGGGGCTTGGGGACATTTGATTGCAGGGTACCCAAAGGCCCCAAAGTAGTTCTTCTTTGGGGGTTCATATATAGAATCCTATAAGGTAATCCCAAAAAGGAACTACTTTGGGGCCTCTGGGTATTGCATGTGATCAGGAAGATGTCACAACAGCAAACAGCGCAAGTGACGACAGAAGAGATCAGAAAGTCTCTGGGCTTGCGGCCATACCCTTCGTAGCCTTCACCGCCCATGCACCCACCTCCAGCCGCAAACCGAGGCCGGAAAACTCAGGATTGTGAGGAAGCGGCTCTGAGAGACAAATGACCCGCCTGAAACTAAACCCTGAACCCTAAACCCTGAACCCTAAACCCTAAACCCAAGAGAGCCTGATGTCCGTAGCTGGGGCCCCTCATCCCCCGCATGGGTAGTCGTCAGAAATATGGTCCCTTTTGGGGTCCATGTTGTAGTACGGCACCTAGTATTCATTCAGGGTACCCAAAAAAGGGACCATAATTTTTTCAACCCCCCACATGTAGGGGCCGATAGTTACCTAGCCACACGATTCGTTGAGGTTCCCTCCACAATCCAAAGTCGACCCCTTTAGGCCGCTGTGCTAGTAGGTACCCTAAACCCTAAATCCCTCTAGCCCTAAGCCCCTAAACCCCTTAAACCAGTAAATCCCTGAAACCCTGAAACCCTAAACCGCTGAAACCCTAAACCCTAAAGCCATCTGTCAGGTTGAGGGCTTGGAATTCTCTCGTCCCCCGAGGAAACTCACGCCTTTGGCGGAGCCTGGCCCCATACCATACCTGAGCGCTCAAAATCCTACTTGGAGGATCATGGGACTTAGCAACTAGGGTTATAAGTAAGGTAACTATACTTATAACTACTTAGAACCCCAATTAAGGTACTTATAACCGTACTTACTAAGTGCCATGATCCTTTAAGTAGGGCATATGTAGGGGCTTTGGGGCTTAGGGCTCAGGGCTGGTAGAGTGCAGGGCTAATAGCTTCAGGGGCTGAATGCATATAGGGTTTAGGGTGCTGTTGAGGGTTCAACTTTGTCGGTTTCGGGTTTAAGGTGTAGGGTCCAGCGCAAAAGGCAGGGTTGCGTCGCAGCTGAACGATACACTGACACATGAGTATCATGAGTCTTCTCGCTTACCTAAAACAGCCTTACTTTCCAATCATCACAATCTGCCACCAAACACATGCGAGACAACTCAGACTCGTAAATTTGAAACTCCTACACTAGCACCACTAGGAACTAAGCAGCTAAACCCCTGCACCCGAAGTTTCAAACCGGCACACCTAAACCCTACACCCCGAACCCCTGAACATTCCACCCTAAACCCTAAAGCCTAAACCCTAAAACCCGAAACGGTAAAGGCCAAAAAATCTCAGCAAAAGGAGGTTCAAGGCCCCCACCCACCGCCACCGTAGCCACCCGAACCCAGCCTCAGCTTGCTGGGGTTCATTGAAACTTTTTCACGTTTTTGGATTTAGGGTTTAGGGTTCAGAAGCTCCGGACCGAGCAGTTTCAAAGTAGAGTTGTGTTTACGGTTTAGAAATAACACCCACCCACCAATAGAATCCCATACAATTTCGAAAATACAAAAATTTACCTTCATTTACAGCTTAAAACTACTATCCAGCAAAATCGCTAACTTATACACAACAGACACATGTTCTGCACGGTTCAACCCACTAAAATTGCTTTAAACGACGAATGGTGCGCGGGTCTGGCCACCTAGACCCGAAAAATGCCTTAAACCACGAATGGTGTGGGGGTCTGGCCACCTAAAACCCGAAAATTGCCTTAATCCACGAATGGTGTGGGAGTCTGGCCAACGAAAATTGCCTTAAACCACGAATGGTGTGGGGGTCTGGCCAGCTAAACCCCGAAAAATGCTTTGAACCACGAATCGACGAATGACATTAAAGTTTAAATATTCATATGATAAAGAGGTTTAGGGTTTAGGGTTTAGGGTCTGTAAGGTTTTTGACGATGTCTGGGTTACCATAGGTTGCCATAATCGGGGCTTCGGCAAGCAAGGCTTGCTTTCATGACGGATACTAGAGTATTATACAAAGCCTTTTAGAAGCCATGATTAAAGATATGGTGCTTGTTACTCTATTTGGGACTCATAAGACTACAGGTGACTAGACGTGACGGAGGTGAAGAAGTGCATCGTGCAGAGCCCGAAGCATCCGAGAGTCTCGGGTGTAGATCATTCGGGCTTGCGGTTTAATTGTGTGTAGAGCTTAAGGATTAGGGGGGCTCAGGGTTAGAGGTCTTAGGGCCTTAGGGTGTCGGGTTCAGGGGCTTTGATAGGACTTTCTGGGGTTCTTCTGTGGAGATGGGGGGGAGAGAGAACAGGACGCTGGTGGCATGCATCGTCATGCAAGTGCCCACGCGCCTACATTCTGGTTTTAGACTTTCGGTTTTCATGGTTTCTGGCGCTCAAAGGCTTGATATTCCGTGCTTGGGCATTCAAGTTTGGATTCGCCACCCGAATTAACGACTATGAAATCGTAAGCCATTCAAACACGAACCCCAAGCCCATCCCTGATTGGAAGCTGTTACCTTCGAAGGACTGACGGTGCTTCTCATGTTTGGGGAGGGGGAGGCGTTGTTGTAGCACCGTGAGGGCTTCAGAAAATTACGGGTACTTCTTCCAGGTGGACATGCAAAATGCCCCCAATGAGCTTCATACTGTTGATGATATAAATCCTGCATGACCCATAATAAGGAATATACCAGAATTCCCATATATTCCTTATTATGGGTAATGCTGGATTTATATCATCAACCGCATTTATAAAGTTCGGAATCCGAATGCACAGATCCCTGAACATGCTGAGCTGAGCAGAAAACCCTGTGTTCCAGACGTACTCAGAAACTGCAAGGCATCGAAGCTACCCCCCCGCCCCCAACCCTATATATGAGCGCATCAAGATTAAAGGGAGTTTGCATCGAACTACCTTGCCCGAAGCCCCAAACCCAAAAGCATAGGCCGTGAAACCTCCCAGACCTTCCAAAATCCCTTAATTAAGGAATATACCTTAAATCGTATTAGGGGATCCTATTATAATTTAAGGTATATTCCTTAATTAAGGGATTTTATGGAAGGTCTGGGCTGAACCCTGAAACCCAGAAGCCTCAGCCCGTAGGTTCACCGACAGGGTACTAAGGCCAACGTAATTCCTAAATCGCGAGACCCTGATGAATCCTAATCCCTAATCTATAAGCCCCTGAACCCCTGAACACGGATCCCTAAACTGACAGCATAAATCCTAAACCCTCGCCCTCAGCTTTAGCTCTCTGCTACGAGCCCTACATGAAACAGGATCTTTATTGCTGGCAGCCAACAGTAAAGCCCTCGAGAAAGCAAACTCACCAATGTTCCTCGATGGTCAATGTTCCATATCTAAAACCTACCTAACATCCCCAAACTAACACCGTAACAAACCCTACACCCCCATCACTAAACTCTAATCCCTCAGCCCTAACCCCTCGTCCCTTAACTCGAATCCCCAATCCTGACCCTAAACTCCTAAACCCTAAACCCTAAAACCTAAACCCCTAAACCCCCAAAGTCCGAACTAAACCCCTAATCCCCGAAACCCCTAAACCCTAGACCCCGAAACCCCTAAACCCCTAAACCCCCAAGCCCTAAATCCCTAAACCCCTAAATCCCTAAACCCTAAATCCGGGCGCCGGGGCGGCTCCGCAGGTGGCGGGATCACCCGTGGGCCGCCGAGCCCAGGGTTGATCGGACCTTGCTTAAAGGCTCATGGGACTTAGTAAGGTTCGTTAAGGGCTCCTTAAAGGGATCTATAGGGATCCTTAAAGGGATCTATGACGTTTAGGGTTTAGGGTCTACTTAAAGGCTCATGGGACTTAGTAAGTAAGGTTATAAGTAGGTTATAATTAGGCTAACCCAACTGAGGGGACTTATAACCCCAATTATAACCTACTTACTAAGTCCCATGATCCTCTAAGTGGGGGCTCAGGAATGGTTTTTGGAGGCCTTAAAGTAGGGTTTAGGGTTTAGGGTTTAGGGGTTTAGGGGTTTAGGGGTTTAGGGGTTTAAGGGTTTAGGGTTTAGGGGTTTAGGGTTTAGGGAGGAAGTCGGGCTTCAACACCTGAAGCAAGAGTTTACCCATAGGCCCCCAAAGTAGTTCCTTTTGGGGATTACCTTACAGGCCCCAAAGTAGTTCCTTTTCGGTTTTCATATATAGAATCCTGTAATCTTTGGGTAGGGCTGTGCACCTCGACGATCTATGAATCTATCACGAATCTATATGCTGTTCCCACGTACTGACCTGCCCATCTGTCTACCCATTGCTGCATCTATCTCTGCGTTTGCCTATCTGTCCTTCTATCCACTCTAAGTACAGCCGATGGCAATAGGCCTGAAAGCCGAAACCCAGCTCAAACAAGCCCTAAACCTAATCCCGAACCCCTAAACCCGAAACCCCTAAACCCTAAACCCCTAAACCCCTAAACCCTATACTCTAAGCCCTTAGACATACAGCTCATGATCCCCAAGCCCTTTGGGCGATTTGCAAACAGCCTCGGGGGCCCCGGCGGGTGAACACCGACTGCTGACCGACGTGCGACGGTCTGAGGCGGGTTTAGGGTTTAGGATTTAGGGAGTCCACAAAGCTGTGGCTTCACAGACTAAGGCTTCCATCAGGAAGTCCTTCAAAGGTTTTATATACAGGGGTTCTTGCGGGGTTAAGGTTACTATAAGGGGTTACTACAACAGGAGTAGTATAGAGGTTTTCCATCATAAGCCCCATGAGAAACAACCCCATATTTGCAGCCCTAGTAGAAAGCATGCTTCACGTGCTTGTGGACCAGTCTTCTGACCTCAAACGATCGCTGCTTATATGGGGACCTTAATGATTAGAATAGGATTTGGGACCCATAATACTATAAAAACTCCCGCCAATACAACGGTATTTAGACTTATAATATTCTTGCCGTGGGTTTAAGATTTAGTTCAACACCTGTGCTCCAACTCATTGTCAGAGGTTAAGGGCCTCGGGTTCAGGGTTTAGGGGTGTTATATGTGTATGTATATATATATATATGTATATATATATATGTATATGTATATATATATATATATGTATATATATGTATATATGTGTGTATATATATATGTGTATATATATATATACATATATGTGTGTATATGTGTGTGAATATATATATATATATATATGTATGTATATATATATATATATATATATATATGTATGTATATATATATATATATATATATATATATGTATATCTATCTATATATGTATATGTATATATATATACATATATATATATATATATATATGTACATATATCTATACATATGTATATCAGAAAACATATATGTATATATATATATATATATATACATATATAAACATATATACATACATATAGATAGATAGATAGATAGTGTCTGCGACGAAAGGCCCCTCATACCCTCCGAGATCCTTCAAGGCTAAGTTCTATCCTACGGGTCAGGTGATGGAAGGCAGAGCCATCGGATGGCTCGCGTAGGAGCTTAACCGGTGGTCTTGGGGTTCCCTTGGCTCTTTAGCTACTTATTTAATAGGGATTATCATCATCCCTGGCTCCTTAGCTCCTCCAATATCAATGGTTAGTTATTTAACGGGAATAGTGAAGATAAGCAGCTAATGCTCTGTATCATGGCGTCAGGTCAATCGCATGGATTGGCAGCCAACAGGTTTGGTTGAAATTCTAAACCCAAAACACCAAATCCGACACCTGTACCCCTAACTTTTGCCTCCAAACCCCGGAACGCCGAAGCCCGGATCCATCAAGCCTCAATGCTGAAACCCTGGCAGTGCCTGTTGCCAGCCGGGTTCATGCCACTGCCATAGGACCCTGTCAGGCCCAGCATGTGGAACAAGAGAAACCCGGAGCAGTGCTGAGGATAACAAAGCGACTTAACCACCAGGATCATCCTCCGCCTCCTCCTCCTGCTCCTCATCCTCAACATCATCAACACCAGCATCATCGTCGTGCTCATCCTCAAAAGCAACCACGCAACGCCATCATTCTCAACGTCATCTTATCATCATCACCGTCTGTCATCATGCACACCGTCATTGCCATCACCATCACCACCGCCATCTTCAACATGGTCATCGATTTCATCATTTCAATTGACATCCTGCACTGCCTCCTTTGTGGCGAAGGGGATGGGGAGGCGGATAGCATGACGATGACGCAAGCGAAGTTGGTGACCATGGTGACTGTGACGGCGATGCAGAAGATAGCAGGGTTGCAAAAACGAGGGAGATCAGTGATGGTTGTGTTGATTCTTTGGCGGTGGTGCTCGGAGCAGCAGTAGTCGTAGCAGTAGCAGCAGTCGCAGCAGCCGCAGCAGCAGAAGCAGCAGAAGCCGCAGCAGTAGCACCATTATTGTTGGTAATAGTCGTCATCATGGCCGTCGTGTTCATCGTCGTCGTGGAAGTGATGACGATCATAGCAGCAGCACTAGCAGCAGCAACAGCAGCAGCAGCAGCGGCGGCTGCAGCAGCAGCAGCAGCAACAGCAGCAGCAGCAGCCGCAGCAGCAGCAGCAGCAGCAGCAGCAGCAGCAGCAGCATTGTTCGCGGTTCGAATTCGATTTGAACCTTAGAAAATGGGAGTTTCTGAAAATGGGGGACCCTAATATAGTACCCTAAATAGTAGGATCCTTGATACAAAGGCCCTCAAAATAAGGTACACCCTAGTTTTCAGAAACTCCCAAATAATCTGGGGCCCTTTCCTCGCCTGGCTGAGCCTGAGTCCAAAAGACCAAGGCCGCCCCCCCCCCCCGAACCAGAGAACTGAAAGCCGGCACTTTGGGTTTACGGTCTTTTTTGAGCTGCTTTTCCTCTCTTCTTCAACAACCGGGCCCCAAAAAGTTCAAACTTTCTAAGATAGAGCTAACATATAAGGCCAAAAAGTTTAAAGTTCCCCCGTTCACTATCTAAGTTTCTACAAAGCCCGAAGGTCTTCGAGAGGCGGTTTAGGGCGTAGGGTTTTGGGTCTCTAACCTCTGAATCCAAAGAGCCAAGGAAATCAAAACCCGGAGCCAGGCCCAACCGCGCGGTTTCGGGTAGAGGGCTTCGGGTTTAGGGCTTTAGGCCTTCGGGTTGTTTAGAGCTTAGGGTTCTTTCAAAGAAGGTTTAGGGGCTTAGGGTTTAGGGGCTTCAACCTGACCCCTCGACTTCGACTCGCAAAAACCAGGCAGCCTAGAGTTCCAGAAAGTCCGACAAGCCTCGCAGCACCCCGAATCCTGAACGCACTCCGAAGCCCAAACACCCCCCCCACCCTAAACCCAAAACCCTAAACCCAAAACCCCAAACCCCTCCCCCCCCGCCGCCCGTGCCCTCCTAGCCTTCGGCACTGGCTGCGCCGCCCCCAATGCCCAGGGCCGGCCGCAGCGGTAAATCTGGCGATCGCGCGGAGGTTTCGTTTGGAGCTTAGCGGTTCATGGCACCCAGGCTTGGTGGATTAGGGTTGAAGGTCAAGGATTTTTAAGGTGCAGGGCTTAGGGTCTAGATGGGTCTACGATTTAAGGTTTGTAAGGTTAAGGGCAGTTTGGATCCAAGCAGTTAGGATCCAAGGCTTGCTGACAAGTTTTTTTGCTGGTGCGCGGTACTGTGCATGAACCCGAACCCCCAGGCCTAGGATACTGAAATTAGGGTTTGGGGTTTAGGGTTTAGCCTAAGTCCTCAAATCCTTCTGCAGCTTCTTCAACCAAACCCGAAGCCATGGCTTAGTCTCGGATTCTTGAGCTGACTGCTGACTGCTTTGGTCTGCGGTCACTCTTGGGGCACGTTGTAGTGTCCGCTTGAGCGCTACACCAACATCCTAAAATGCGCAGCCAAGCCCTTGGCCACGAGAAGAAGGAACAAGTCAGTACAAGTAACGAACACATGTTGGATTTACTTTCCAGTTAGGGCCCATCTATAGCAACAGGCAGCCCCACTGCGCCATATCAGGGAATGCTTTGGCATTACAGTATGCCCTCAGTATGCTCAACACACATGATGTGGTTCTTTCTCCTGGGTTTGAAAAAACGACTCAGTTGGTGGAAGTCCTCCACCTGTTGCTTGCCGGGCTTACCTACCCCTCATGCTCCTACTACACCGAACTGCTCCCGCATCCAGTTTTGCTACGACTGCTACTGCTACTGGCAATCTTCCTCAAGTCCGAGACCCAGCGCATCTTGGCTCCGCGCTGGGTGCGATCATGCCAGCAGGTCGGCCCTGTAGCACGTGTAAGTCTATCGGTTAAGGCTTTCGGGTTCAGGGTTTAGGGTTCAGGTCCGGGGCTTAGGGTTTCGGGGCTTGAGCTTTGGGAATCATGCTACCACGCGCCATTTCTTCATCAGGCTTCCGAGGTTTAGGAGTTCACGCCCCGTCAATTCTCTTTAATAAGGCTGGGTTGTAGATTTGGGGCTCTGAAAAGTATTTATGAATAGGTACCTCTATAGGAACCATAAGGGAAATTAAAAAGTTTCCCAAATTGCCACGTAGAAGGGCGTTGAAGAGATCTTGATACCCCGAAGGTAAGATACGTCGCCTTACGTGCCCTCTAGGCGGCTCTATTCGAGGCTCGTCTGCTGCAGCTCATGCCATGGCTGGCAATGCTAAGACCCTATGCCAGAAAATAATCTTCTACTCTATTACTACTCTATCTATTCTATGCTGTTCTACTCTTTTCTGAAAAGAGTAGAACAGCATAGAATAGATAGAGTAGTAATAGAGTAGAAAAGACAAGAATGGAATGGAGCATAGAAAGCATAAGCCATAGGATAGCATAACTGTCATACAAACAGCTGGGAGAGGATCTTTGAGACTGATACAGGATTGAACACGCCACAGAACAGTGCTTAGAGGATCATGGGACTTAGTAACTAGGGTTCCTTAAAGGGCTCCTTTAAAGGGATCTATAGGGGTTCTAGTATAAGAGGGATTTAGGGAGCTTAGAGGATCATGGGACTTAGTAAGTAGGTTATAGTTGGGGTTATAAGTCCCCTAAGTGGGGTTATCCTAATTATAACCTACTTACAACCTTACTTACGTAGTCCCATGAGCCTTTAAGTAGACCCTAAGCCCTGAACCCCATAGATCCCTTTAAGGATCCCTATAGATCCCTTTAAGGAGCCCTTAACGAACCTTACCAAGTCCCATGAGCCTTTAAATGGCCAGCTCCGGAGCTCTAAACGCTCTAAGTACTTCTAAGCCCTATGGAGGCCTCAGCCTGCAGGGCACTGGTAAGGATGAGTGTGACTTAGGTACGGCCCCCTTACAGTAAGAGTCTATAATAGGGCTACTATTAAGGTCCTAATATATCTATATTCAAGTGTGACTATGGCCAGAAAAACTTCGGAGCCTTATAGTAAAAGCCAGAAAGTTGGAATATGATTATCCTAAACCCCTTTATGGCAAATTTCAGGGTATCCTACCTTGAAACCATATTCCAACTTTCTGGAGTTCCCTTTACCAGCATCCGCTGCCCGACAACACACCCCACCCTCAGAACAGGGCTGCTTGCGCAAGGTCAGCCGCCTAATGCTCCGCGCCGGGCTCTTTTCAACACGGCATGTTGACACGGATCTTGTAGAGAAGGCCGCAGTACCACCGCAATGCCTAAAGCCAATCAACAAAAACGAACTTGCGACCGCAGATTCGAGCAGCATGACTGCTGTTCAGCAGCCTACAACTCCTCTTGGACAGGGCAGCGGAAGCTCTTCCCAACCCAGAATTTGCGGGCCCGTTCCCCCCAGGCACCAACTCCAATCTCAAAATGACGCTGACCACGACTGAATCCATTCGGTCTCAGTTTGATCTTATGCAACCAGCCCACAACCACGCGGCCGTCTGTAATGCTGTCCTCATCATGCTTGATGTGGTAATGGTCTGTACACCCGGAGCAGCCCTCGAATAAATTACCATAGCCCATTTGCTGCACAAGAACTGTGGCGGTGTCCCCATGACACTCATAGCCGTTCAAGCTCAATGACCAGATCTCTCTGGCTGGTTCGGCGGCAACGAAACCAGGCCGCTGGGCCCAACCAACGGCAGCGGCAAGCATCGTCAGCGCAAGACAAGACATCAGCAACGGATCCCACCCTTGTCTGAGGGCAACTCTCTACGTCGCAGTTAGCCAGGGCTAGGAAGCAGTACTATGCTGATACTCGGTGGCTCTTGCAATACAAAGGCGGCAAGCGGTCCTGTATTTCGAGCGTTTGCTCTGCGAGCTTGAGTTTTAAAAGCTGTGTGAACACAAACATCTGCAATAACTTCGCGCATGCACACAGTCCTCAGTCAGTGAAGCGTTATATAACTTGAGAAACAATAGAATAATGAACTGGAGTAGAATGGAATAACACAGAATACAACGTAAGAAACACAACGTAACATAACATAACATAACATAACATAAACTGTCGCTGTATCATATAGTGTGACCTAGGCAAGAATGAAGCTCTATAACATAATGCCAAAGACACTTACTTTGCAAGCGAAAGAATTCTGAGAATAAGACAAGTAAAAGCAAATGCAACTGGCAAGCGAACGGCAATCAAGCGACAAAGCTTGAGAAATGTCTACCAAAGAGTCAACCACACAGAAAGGCAGCCACTTGGACCAATCAAACCCACATCCCAAACCGCACCCTGCCACTAAACCTTAGACCCTAAACCCTAAACCCTAAACCGTGGATCACGCCACCTGTGGGTAGACTGGGGATGAAGTCGGTCCGAAGCCACCCGACCTTGGCCCGAGCTTGCAGTTTTTCGGGAGGGCTTCGCTTCTGGAGGCGAAGGTCTAAACCTAACGCCTCAGGTTTAGGGTGTGGGGTTGTAGGGTTCAGGGTTTAGGGTTTAGGATATGGGGTTGTAGAGATCAGGGTTCGGCGCAGTCGGTTCTAAGGTTCTTAGAGGCCTCGCAAGACCAAACTGTGAACCCTGAACTCTGTGACCCTGAAAGGCCCTGACCTTAAAGGGAACTCCAGAAAGTTGGAATATGGTTTCAGGGTAGGATACCTTATAATTTACCATAAAGGGGTTACGATAATGATATTCCAACTTTCTGGCTTCTACTGTAAAGCCAGAATCCGAACAGCCCTCCAGCCCCGAATTCCTCTCCTGAGCACCCTTTCAAAGAAGGCTTACACCCTCGACACTCAGCCAGTATCCCCGTGTGAAAGCAGCCCTAAGCCATCCTGAATCTTAGAACCCCCCGACCCTAAAGCCCGAACCCCTAAACCTAGACCTGCCCAGAGACTCCAATACCCCTTAATTAAGGAATACTCCTTAAATCATATTTGGGATCCTATTATATTTTAAGGTATATTCCTTAATTAAGGGGTTTTGGAGTCTCTGGGTGGAAATCCTGAACCTTAGACTCTGCCTTAGACTGTCATCAGACTCCCCATAGACCCTAAGCCTAGACCTAGACTTCGAGATCCCTAGACCTCGAGATCTGAAACCACGGGTGAGCCTGATTGATGTTCGGGGAGAATACGGCTTCGGTGCATAGTATAGCATCATGTAATAACGAGACCCTAAGGACCACTAATGGCATTTATTCAGGCCCCTATATGGGAGTTTCTGAAAGTAGGGGACCCTCATCTACTCCCCTAAATAGTAGGATCCTTATAATAAGGACCCCAAAATAAGGTACCCCTAACTTGTCGCAGGGACCTTCAACAGCCTTCAAAGCGATGAGTATGAAGAGACCCTCGCCTCCAGCCCTGAGCTCTGAACATGCTTTGCCAGGGCCTCCATAGGGTTTGCTTAGAGGATCATGGGACTTAGAAACTAGGGTTATAAGTAAGGTAACTATACTTAATAGCTACTTATAACCCCAATTAAGGTACTTATAACCTTACTTACTAAGTCCCATGATCCTCCAAGTAGGGTTGAGGGTTTAGGCATCGTGGGGTTTTGGGGCATATCCTACAGATATCAGGGGACGGTAAGGGAATGGTATTGCTAAACCTTGGGGACCTCTATCCATCCTAAACATGTAGCCTATCGCAGTCAACGCGCCCCTAAACCCTGAACCCTAAACCCTAAACCCTAAACCCCTAAGCCCTAAACCCTAAACCCTAAACCCTGAACCCTAAACCCTAAACCCTAAACCCTAAACCCTGAACCCTAAACCCTAAACCCTAAACCCTGAACCCTGAACCCTAAACCCCTTAGCCGTGGAGGCCTTAGGATTTAGGGGCACTGAAGCCCAAGAAGCCCCAGAGCTGCTAAGCCCCCAAACACCTCAACCCCCCAAGGCCCAAAGCCCTGAACCCTTGAACCCGGAACCCGATAATGGTTTAGGGTTTAGGGTTTAATCACAAAAAAAGCGCGAACCCTACACCCCATGAGCCCTTAAGAGGCCAGGCGGAACACGAGAGATCTCCATTTTTTAAGTCTGCGCTGGCAAAGTCGCCTTTGGCTTGCCCGGTTCTATGCTTTTGGGCCGGCTGAAGCTTCGAAGACCCTAAACCCTAAACCCTAAACCCTAAACCCTGGTTCAGGCTTTGGGGCTTTGGGCTTTAGGGTTTGCAGGGTTTAGGGGTTTAGGTTTTAGGGTCCATGCCGGACTTCTTTAGGCCCATAGAGTTTGGGGTTTAGGGTTTAGGGTATGGGGGTTGGTTTAGGAAATCTCCTACACGTCGAGGGTGGGAACGTCCTTCAGAAGCTTCGCCACCTGCCTGTCGATCGCGATTCGTTCCATCCTCGGCTACTTAGAGGATCATGGGACTTAGTAACTACGGTTATAAGTAAGGTAACTATACTTATAACTAGGGATTCCTGAATATGAACCTTATTATGGGAACCCTAATCCCTACGAAACCCCCATAGGCTAAAGCCCCTTTTGGCCTCCTATGAATGGCTTCTACTTGTAGGCCTTGGGCAGGTTTACAGTAGCGATGGTTATGTAAGGGTTGGGCACAGGGGGCCCGGATTTTGGAGTTGGGTCCTTGGACTTCGGGGTTTAAGGGTTGAGGGCTTAGGGTTTCTGGGATTTCAGGTTTGGGCTTATAGGGTTTGGAATTCAGGGTTTTGCTACGGTTGAGGATTTAGGGTTTGAGCTCCAACAAAACTCCATGAGCCGAACTGACAGTAATGTGCACTTGTCAATGTGCCAGGAATGGCTTAGGATGTTACGACTTACTGCGCCCGAATCCTTACGTTGCCGTGATGGTAGTTGAGTAGCTTGTTCGTACTGATTCATATGCTCGATTGAGCACTCAGCCGCCACTACGTCTACGACTGCTACCCCTTGTGGCAACGAACTATCACATCCCGCAGCATGGTAGCCCCAAGCCAAGCAGCACTTCCTCTCCATGTTCCTGGCGGATCTTGTTCATCCTCGCCTCAAGCGCAGGGCTTTGGGAGGAAGAGGAGGGAACACCCATGGCGCTATCCCCAACCCCCTCTCTAGGATTCCAAAGGTGGGCAAGGCGGCCGGTTGAGGCGCTCGTGTTGTGAGTCGAGAGTCTGATTTCTGGATACGGGATTCGTCTGTGGCCGTGAAAGGGTACACGCCTCAGGCTGGACCGCTACTTGGGGCATGCACGCACTTCGGCAGCAACTCACACCGCCGACCTTCGAACCCGTCAACTCCATCTGCGCGACATTTGACCGACAACATGCGAAGAGCGAGTCGAGTGTTTCGGAAAGGGACAGTGCTCCAAACTCCTCATCGGGGTGCATTACAGGAAACCGGCTTGTATCCTTGCTCGTTGTACACATATTGCGAAATTCATAGACAAGGTGGTTGCACCTGTCGTCCACCCAATACCGGAACCGCGATTGTGCTATTGATCAAGCTCCAAGTCAAGAATATCTCCCAACAATCCAACAACCCCCTACAATCCCGACGTCCAAACTGCCACGCAAACACACACTGCCGATACCTCGGCTGGCTTTCAATGCCGCCAAGAAGCCACCTGGTAGACCTTGCTCCACAAGACACAAGAGGGGGCTGTCCTATACAGGAAACCACAAACGCTCACGAAGCTGTTGAAAAAGTAACAGGTCTCTTGTGAAGGCTTATAACAAGGCTTGAAGTTCACCCAGCATCCCGCATTCCCTACGCGGACAAAGGAAACCTGAGATTGCCTGTCCTAAACCCTAAACCCTAAACCCTAAACCCTAAACGAGCACTGCAGACCTGGGATCCGGTGCACTAAAAAATATCGAAGGCGTCGGGCAAGCAGTTCACGACACTTGTCAAGAAGCACTTGGACCCGGAATGTCTCTCGTCACTTGTGAAAGGGGCGGCTCCATGAAAAGCATCGAGAATTTAGAAAACGCAGCACGTTTACCCGAGAGACCAAAGTCTGAAAACATCAACTGTCGAAGGCCCCAAGACTCTGCCCACTGGCCCTAAACCCCAAGCCACAAGACCCCAAAACCATCCACCCAAAGCCCCAAAGCCACAAGACCCCCAAACCCTCAACCCTAAACCCTAAACCCAAAGCCCCAAGACCCAAGGCCCCAAAACCCAAAGCCCCAAATCCCAAAGCCCCAAATCACCAAGCCCCAAAGCCCCAAAACCCAAATCTGCCAGGACGCCGCCATCTTCTGCTCGGTGGCCGTGAAGTCGCTCCACTTCTTATGGAGACCCTGAGATGGCTACGGCTGATCATCTAAATCCTGGGGTTCCTTTAAAGGGCTCTATTAAGGCTACCTTTAAGGCAAGGGATTCCTTTAAGGGATCTATAGGGGATTTGGGGTTTAGGGTTTAGGGATATAGATCCTGCAATACCCATAATAAGGAAAAACCATAATTCCCCTGGTTTAGGGTCCTTAAGGTAATGCAGGATTTATATCATCAACCGCAAGCACCCCCAAAAGGGCTCTTCCGCGGGCTTAGGGTTTAGGGCTTGGGGCTTTGGGGCTTTGGGTTTAGGGCTTAGGGTTTAAGGCTTAAGGCTTCGGGCTTTGGGTTTAGGGGTTTAGGGCTTACCAGAACCCACCAAGTATCCTTTGAAGGGCTCTTATATATCTCGTTAAGAGGTAATTTTGGGGCTACAATACAGGGGTAGTTGGGGGTGTCTAGGTAGGGTTTCGGGCTTCAGGTTGGGAGCTCCGGGTTTAGGTTTTTAGGGACGGGCTAAGTGAAGGATTAACAAGGGTTTAAGGTTTAGGGTTTCCGGTTTAGGGTTTGGGGTTTAGGGTTTCGGGCTTCGGGTTTCCTGGAAGTAAAAGTTCCGGTGAGAAAAATTCCTACAAGGATTCGGCTCTTCAGCCGTAGCAACGCCCCGGAGCTTCTGGAAGCTTTGGGAACTTACAGAGGGCTCCTTAAAGGGATCTATAGGGCTCCTTAAAGGGATCTACAGGGCTCCTTAAATGGATCTATGGAATTTAGGGTTTAGGGTTTACTTACCTTGGGTTAGTAGGGAATGGAGGAATGGGGTACACTTATAACTACTGTTACTACCATTTTCCATTCCCTGCTAACCACAGGGAACTTATAGAGGACTTCTCTGACAAAACTTCCGGGCTTCCTGTTCTGAGCTGCTGGCAGGGCATCGAATAGTAGAGCCTCAAGTCCAAACGCCCAAACTTCAAACACTGAACCCTAAACCCTGCGCCTTAAACTTAAACCCCAAACCCTGAACCTTAAATCCCAAACCCTAAACCACAAAAGGAGCAGGCCGGTGAGCTGTTGACACAGGCCAGGGGTTCCGAATCAAGGGTTCAAAAGGGTTTTGGGGCTCAGGGTTTAGAGTGCGGCGGGTTAAACAACCACCAAAACCTG